GTCTTGCCTCGCTTGTGATGTTTATGTACTCGTCAGTTCGCAGGCTTCCTGATTGGATTGTCCTTATATCATTTGCCGTAAATGTTTTGGCGAAATATCCATACGAAATGGACGACGTTGTCACTACAGGCTGGCGATTTTTGGATCTCAAAGTACCCACATTTTGTTCGTTTGTTATTGGCAATGGCATTGAGTTCTGTTTAAATTGTCGCACAGCATTATATTTGCTAATACCGGGTTTCCTAATACATTTAGCAGCACGCAATAATTGGCACGGCATCTACACACATCTGATACCGCACTGTGTTACTTTAAGTTGGTTACAATTATGTATCACAGCTTCACAGAGTGCCACTATGTTCGGTATGATCAGAGCTACTCTAGGTCTAGCTGGTATTCTGCTTTTCTTACCCTTATTTGGTTTGGTTTCGCTGTTGATACCCGTTTTTGTAATTATCGATTGGATGGGCTTCACCGATCCGGGTGTACGTTTGGGCAGTACACTTGTAGCTGTTAGTTTTGTACTTCTCGGATCATGTTTTCTAGCGTTGCACCGTACAACACAAAAATACGTAACCATCATGCAGGTAAATAAATATAATAATATGTTTAATCTCAAATATTTACTTATTCCATAAATACTTTTAAACCATAGGTGGTTCTTTGCATCACGGCAGCCTGTATACTTACATTCCCCTATATGACGGCAAATTTTAAGGATACCCCACGCTTCAGCAATATTGTAGCGCTCGATAAAGATGAATCTAGAATTAATACCATGGATAGCAACGAGAATGTTGAGGAAAGAATGGACGCTATACACAAACGTGCAAACGATGAAATGCCACCAATAACTGGTCCTCTGACTTGGCAACGTTTCTATACACTTTGTGGTCAAGCAGTTAACGAGCAAAGCAATAAAATCAAGTCACAACTACGATGTGCACACTTGGAAGGTATGGACGTGATATGGGTGGGTACCGTAACTCAAGTTCATATTAGTCGTGTGTCCAATATACGTGCTGAATATCTAAATAAATATTTGCCCACGTGGTTGAGTCGCTGGATCAGCTGCATTTACGGTACATACGTACGCGAGCAACTACAATGCGGTGCGGAAGAGAAGGAAATTTTCTGCAACGATATCGATATCTTGCTAAAGCATAGTGTATTACAAGGTAAATGTTCCTTGCATCAGTGGAATACGTACGAATATGAGATACGCGTACGTATGCCAACACAGGGTTTGTTAAGCAAAAGTATCGATATTGTGCTACAAGCCCGTCACAAATTTGGTAATTTCACTAGTGCCTTGATGATAGGTGATCGCCTTCAGTTCTATGGTACACTACAAAATAATCGACCGCCTCTGGTTGATGGTATGCGTGAACGTGAGGATTTTATTTTGGGTGCCTCACAGACGCGCATACAGTTGCTAGCTGTTAAATGTGTACAATGCGTTGATAAAACGCTTAAGACGGTAAGCGTGGAACGCAAGTCGCCGGTAAACGCTCGCATGCGTGATCTTATGCGTGGTTTTAAGTATCTGTTGAATGTATTGTTTAATCCACTAATAACATTTAAATAATTTTAAACGCTATAACTATACTTGTATTATATATTATTCAAAAATTTGAATTACCCACTCGATCATGACAAATGAATGGTAAAATAAAAACAATTTTGAATTAAATAATATGTGAATATTTACCTAAAGTTTTTAATTATTTTTTATATGTATATATACACACATGATCAAAATAATAAGTACCAACAAATTCAATTTTATTCATGTTTGGAAGGAAAGAATATTACATTTCATTTCTATTATCATTTAAAAGATAAAATAAAAAATAAAATATTAGAATTAAAAAGTTAAACAAGAACTTAAATTTCTAGGAGCTAGCTGGACAAAATAATAAGTACATCTATCTATGACTGAAAAAATGCATTGGTTTAAGTTTTCTACTATTTGAATTTAAACCATGAAAAGCAACCCCAAACCAATATGTTGCCGCCACCATGTTTAACGGTCTTTTTTGTAAACCGTGAATGCAACTCTTTGCCTTTTGGACGGCGAACATTCCGTCTGGCATCATTCTCGAACAAATTAATTTTATTTTTCATCGCTCTACAAGATATTGCGCCACTGCTCGTTATAGCTTTCGTCGGATCGTTTGAGAAAATATTATATTACCAATCTTGCCTGAAATTATTCTTGAAGATATGAATGTGTTCTTTTTAGCGAGAGTGACGATACGGTTGTCTGTCAATTCCCACAACAGCCGGTTCTACGTTACCGGAATTGACCCGGATTTCATCCGGCCAAGGGCTGCTATTTCGGCGATCTAACCCTGTTTGGATCGGTAAGTGTTAGTCTAAGTCTGTCGTCACTAGAGCAACACCTTGCAGCAGGGTTGATCCGTATCCTCTTGACCCGTGCTGGCATCGAGTCCAACCCGGGCCCCGAGGAATTCTTTTGATGCGTATGCGCTAAAAGGCTCCATCCAAACTCCACCTCGGTTAGGTGCAATACATGCGATAGATGGAACCATCTTAAGACCTGCTCAGGCCTTAAGACCCATAGGGAGTGGACCACGAGTTATGTGGCCCCATGCTGCCAACGCAATACTGCGACACCAGCCTGGTGACATCGACCGCAGGGACACTACCCTTGAATGTCTAGGTATAGCTACCCGGTCAGGCGATGTCAAACTCGAGATATTTAACATATACATCCCCCCAGTTACATGTTGCCCAACAGGATATCACCCGAACATAGGTGCGCTGCTTCGTGGTGAAAACCATTTGGTGCTAGGCGACTTTAACGCGCACCACGATCTTTGGCATTCGTGCCTGTCAAACGATCGTAGGGGGATGGAGCTGGCGGAACAGATTGACAGATTGATAGCATCACCTGGCGACCTATGCTAACTCTCGCATCGGACCATCTGCCCATAATTATCTCGATCGAGAAACCTCTCGACTTTATTTCTGTGGACAACTTTAACAAAGCTAACTTGGTCGGCTTCACAGAATTTACTGAGAGTACCTTCAATGCACTACCCATTCCTACGGACGTCATCGTTGGCGAGCGTCAATTCCGCAGGGTGATCGCTGCTGCTACCGCTCGCTTCATACCGGCTGGTAGAATTGCGGAATTCCGCCCAAATTTCCTAGCCGAAGCAGCTGTATTAGCAAACGAGCGCGACACCTTACGCCATGCCGATCCCTGTGATCCCCGAATAAGGGATCTCAATTTGGAGATTCGGCAAATGGTAAACCAACATAAGCGGACAAAATGGGTGGAGCACCTGAAGTCCTGTAATCTCTCCACCGGTGTGAGTAAGCTTTGGAATACTGTCAAGGCCTTGTCTAATCCGAGGAGACATGACGACCGGGTTGAAATTCAATTCGATGGCCATGCCTCCTCGGACCCAAAGAAGTGCGCGAGCTATTTTAGCCGGCAGTTTACACAGCACCCTTCGACCGACAAGGCCAAACGATGTGTTACCCGACGACTGCGCAAAATGCCAAAAGACTGCGCACCACTTACTTTCACCGATGGGAAGGTTCAGAGTGTCATCAAAAAGGCGAAATCGTCTAAATCCATCGGCCCTGGCGGAATAAGCATGCTGATGCTAAAACATCTAGGCTCAACGGGAGTAAACTATCTCACCAAGGTCCTCAACTTGTCGATGTCCACTCTTCAAATACCCGATGTGTGGAAAGTCGGAAGAGTGGTCCCACTACTGAAACCTGGGAAACCCGCCAACAAAGGGGAGTCTTATCGCCCGATAACTCTCCTTTCCCCAGTAGTGAAGACACTTGAGGCCTTGTTACTCCCGTCATTCACTCACCCCCTGAGCCTAGCAGATCATCAGCATGGCTTCCGAAAAGTTCACAGTACCACCACAGCACTTAGCGTCATAAACACCCAGATAGTTCATAGCCTGAACCAGAAGCCACCCTGCGAGAGGACGATCCTCGTAGCGTTGGACTTGTCAAAAGCTTTTGACACAGTCAATCACACAACGCTACTTGAGGACCTAGAACAATCAAAGCTCCCTCCAGGGCTGAAGCGGTGGACTATGAACTACCTGAGCGGTCGGCATTCATCCGTACTGTTCCGAGGTCAAAACTCCAAACTTAGGACAACATACGGTTGTCTGTTGTTATTAATGTCTTTTTTGATCGACCATGAGTCTCAACATAATTTTTAAACCTTAAGGCATTCCGCTTGAAATACAATAAACACCCTAAAGTTTTAGCGATGCTCATTTCTAGCCGCCTATAAAATTTTATTTAAAAATTTTAAAATACTTAAAAATACTCTTATTATTTTCACCAACCAATTTAGTGTACGAACTTCAACAATGTTGTTGGTTGTAACGATTATCATCAAAATTACTTACATCGCGCATAATTCCGCTTCGATTAGATGCAATAGTTGGAGCCATATCTCGACCTGTTCAGGCCTTAAGACACATAGGGAGTGGTCCACATGCTGCCAACGCAATACTGCGATAATAGCCTCTATGGCAGTGTAAAATGCACCTAATTCGCGCAATGCGCCGCCACTACAGTTGAGTGGCCAACAAGGAACATCTACGGCCCCATGGAGCTCAACTAGGCAGCATGACTCGCAGTCTGACCAATTAGTGCTATTTCAGTGTGGTGGGACCATAGGGAGAAAGGTATTAAGTGAGTTGGTTTCATATATCCTCTTACGGATTAAGCTTTCCTCGCCTTCGTTATGTTTTTTATAACATATAAGATCTTTAAATATATTTTATTGTATTTTCTTTGATATAGGTATTATATATGCATAAATACAATACATAATTAATTATAATAAAGATCATTTAAGAATTAAAGTATTTTTTTACTTGTCCTTTTAAATTCACAACTTGGCAGCACTGCTTATGTGTTCATACCAGAGAACGTAAAATATGGTATACGTTCTCCGGTTAAAGTATTTTTTACGTTCTCTGGTATAACAAGAAAGGGGCATCCCCATTTATATTTCATATAATATGTTATAATAAAGAACATAAAAGTATTCATATTATAGCTTCATCATTTATTGTTAAAATGGCTACTTCCGCAAATTACAACGAGTACGAAGTGCTTGTCGAATTGCAAGCAAGTGTACACAATAATGAGAATAGTTTACCACCATTTTATCTGAGTCGACCGAAAATACAGAAAGTCTACGCTTCCCAAAGTTGTGGAGGAAATTACAGTGATGCGCGTTTACTATATTTTAAATTGCCGAAACCTTGCTCCTATCCAATAGATTTGAAAAAGGGATCTGAGCAACATATCTTCCGGCGACGTTGGGAGTTTTCAAATATGTTGGATATTACCCAAAAATATGTATTGGACACAAAACAAAATGTTCACCAACCGCAAGGCTCTGAAAACCAAACACCACATCAGTCATTAAATACCGAGGACGACGTGTCATATCAGCAACGAGAAAATTCAAAACGAAAATTAGTTCTGAGTAACCGTGGGTGCTTAAGCAACATCATGGCTATACCGTATCGTTTGGAGGCAAATACATATAACGACAGAACATTTTTTGCTACACGGTATTGTGGCGTTTTTCATATCTCTGACTGCAGATGGAGAACTGATAATTCAAGCACCGTTAAATTTCATAGTAAATTTCAGCAAACTTGTTTTTCTGGTAAGTAAAACTCAATTAAAAGTACTAAAATATGTTGACAATATTTGGCAACTTTTTTTTATACCCCGAACAGGGTATATTAAGTTTGCCACGAAGTTTGTAACACCCAGAAGGAAACGTCGGAGACCGTATAAAATATATGCATAAATGATCAGCATGATGAGCTGAGTTGATTTAGCTCTGTCCGTCTGTCTGTATATACGCGAACTAGTCCCTCAGCTTTTGAGACATCTATCTGAAATTTTACACCTGTTTTACTCTCACTAAGAAGCTGCTCATTTGTTAGATTAGATTAGATTAGTTTCGAGGTATGCACCGCGACCTATGGTCTATTGTGCCCTCCCCTAAGTCATATCGTATCATCTAGGCCCAGCATGTTGATAAATTCCAAAATTCTGCTGGGTGCTAGTGTGGCGATACGATCCCTGTGTGGAAACATGGATCCCAGGGTCTTGATTCTGCGTCTGCAGACTGCTGTGCAGTTCATCAGCAGATGCTCAGGGGTTTCCGGCTCTATGTCGCAGAACCGGCAGTTTGCAGAAGAGGCTATGCCCATGTTAAAGAGGTGCTTCTTGAGCCTGCAGTGGCCGGTGTAGAACGCTGCCAGTAGCCGGAATTTGTTTCTGGGGAGATTAATTATGGCTTGGAACCGCTTGAGGTCGTAACCCCCCAATAGCAGTCAGTCCCTTCGGAGGAGCTCTTTGAGGGTATGTGGACCAACCGCTATGTATGGTTCCGGCCCTACCATTTTTGTAGAGGCTGCAGAGCGGGCTAACTGGTCAGCTAGTTCGTTCCCAGCTATACCCCTATGGCCAGGCACCCAAATAAGGTGCATTCGGTTGTGCTCAGATAGGCTGTTCAGCCGTTCTATACACTCCATCACTAGAATAGATCTGGCCTCATAGGCAGAGATCGCTCTTAGTGCCGCCTGACTATCGCTGAGTATAGCAATACTTTTATTGCGATAGTTGCGTTGGAGGTTTATCCCTACACACCGACTTATAGCATAGACCTCGGCTTGGAAAATGCTCGGGAAACTTCCCATGGGAATGGAGAGTTTGGTGCTTGGCCCAGCGACCCCTGCACCAATCCCCTCCTCCGTTTTCGATCCGTCGGTGTACCACTTGATGGTGCTACCCCTTAACAGCCGGTCCAGTGAAGAGTCATTCCACTCAGATTTGCTGCCAAGGGTTACTTGAAACTTCCTGCTGAAGCTTACTACTTTGGTAATGCTATCCCTTGGGAGAAGGGCTAGTTGTATTTCTTCACTTAGCTCTTTCATCTGTTGGGATGAGATTACCTTCCCTTTGCCAGCTCCCTCTGCTGTCATTTGGAGCAGAGTTCGTTTGGCAGTCTGTTTGATTACCAAGTAAAGCGGTGAAAGTTCTAGCATGACTTCCAGTGCTGCGGTCGGACACGTTCGCATTGCTCCCGACGCGCAGATGCAGGCAAGTCTTTGCAGCTTCGACAGTTTAAGTCCTACCGAAGTCTGCGATGCTTTCGAACCCCACGATACCGCTCCATACGGTTGCACACCATGAGTGCTTTAGTAGCTTTGGTTAAGGTCTGGTTCACATGCCGATTCCATCGTAGTGTGGAATCCAGCGTGAGGCCCAGGTACTTGACCGTGCTGGCCATCTCAACCACTCTGCCGTCCAGGGATATACTCCTGAGGCCCGGCAGTGACCTCCGTCTGGTGAAGCGAATGATTGTAGTTTTAGCGGGGTTGATGCTTAAGCCAACCCCAATGATGTCATCCCTTTGCCAGTCCCAATCCCCTCTGAACGATATCGCAGATTGTGTCTTCAAATTTTCCCCTAGCTAAGATAACAATGTCATCCGCATATCCCTGACAGCGGATTCCGAAGCCGAAGTTAACGTTTTTCCTTGTTTTTTTTTTTTTTTTGTTAAATGGCATTTTGTGTTATCTTCTGTACATACATACGTAAATATGTTTAAGTATATGTCGAAGGAAAATCGCGATTATAAAAATTCATTCTCTTTCAACATTCAACATTCCTTCAAAAAGGAACTCATTTATAGTCGGTACTAACTTGCGGTACATTTGTTGCCACTCAAGAGTTTATTGTTGCTTCGTTTTGGGTCGAGATCACCGAAATGCCCCAAAGTGCATTATGCTTCACGATGTGAACAGTTACCGACGTTCCGCCCTTCCGTACTTACCGCCCGTATTAAGCAAAATGTATCAAATGTTATGCCCGTAGTGACAACGTAGAAATCAGTTGTTTTTAAAAAAAAAAATGTTTAATTGTTAGTCCCAAATACCGGATTAGAATACAAAAAAATGTAATCCTAAATACCGTTAAAATAAAATAAAATAGTTAATACTATATCCTTCAATACTCTAGAGCACTGGTTTGTAACCTTACATGTTTAAAATAAAATTTTTAATTTGTAATCTCAAACATTTTGGATTAAAAATTATATTTTTATTAGTTGAGTAATCTGAAAATCGGTATTAAAAAATGAAATTTTAATTTTTGATCCCATGAATGTTGGGTTACATATTGGATTTTCAATTTTTGAATTAAAAAGTTCGCAACCCTACAGTCGATCCACTTTTATAGATGAAAACGGAATATTTCAAGTTTTTTTTTGTTAGTCTGCTAATATACTGTTGAGTCTGGAGAATTGCATATTCATTTTTCGGGGTCAAGACCAATAGTCATGTTTATTAAGGGGGCATGTTTGTTCAAATTTAGTTTACTCTATCTAGCCCCTAGTGGCAGTCGAAAGAAGTTTATATGCAATAAACAATAGAATTGTAATTTTTGCAATATATAATATATTTTTCTTCATTCATCATTAAATTTTTATTACAAGATAATCCTGACATGCATCCCAATACCGATGTACCCGTAAATGATGATGCATTCATTAGTGGAATTTTTCATTCCACCATCAAAGAATTTGATCTAATTTACTCTGGAGAAATCATGGGAATAGTTTCAAATCATAAGATTGATGATATGTAAGATTGTATTCAAAGAGAGCGTATTAGACGTAAAACTATTTTATATATTAAAGCATATATGCGTATTCAAATCCTTTATAGGCAAAATATAGAAAACATTAACAAATTGAGGTTTATCAATACAAAACTATTTTGGAAAACAAGATTGCCGGATATTTGGAAAGATCCCAAATGCTTGCTCTGGTGGCTTCAATCATATTTGGCAAACACTGCAGATATATCTGCCGGATTGAAAGAGAGCGATGGGTGCATACATAGCCCAATACAGCTGAAGCCAGTAAAAAATCTACCAAAAGTAAGTTATATTCTTTAATTCAAAAATTACGAATTTAAATAAATATTTTTAGGATCAAAAGTGGAAACCGCATATTTGCATCCGATTCCTGCTCACCATGCTACAATTAATAGAAAAATCCATGTCTTCAGTTGATTGTCCATATACTGTTTTTGAATTTGTATATGACTCATACGCAAAGTGTATTAAATTGAAAAAGCACATTGGTAAAACGGAATATTCCTTCTTAACCGAAGAGTACATAGAACGTTGCAGAATACAAACATCTAAGACATGTTAATCTACCAATCTACCTAAAAGAAACTGTACCTATTTTGTTAAATTGATTGTAACATCAAATGTTTACTAAATTTAAGAAAAATGTGTATTTTTTATTTGTAATGCATAAATTTGAATAATAGGTGCAAAATAAAGGTAAATAATGTTCTTATAAACGCGTTTGTATTGAAAAAATGTACGATTTGGGTGTGGGAGCACTGAAAATCGGCCGACTTCCAGTTTTTACGTTCCACTGTCGTGGGAAGTCGTGGGAACGGTGGAAACGTTCATTATATAAGGTTGTCAAATATCTTCCTTCCGCTTTTTTGCTCTTCATTCAATGCTTTATAAAAAGTGTTACAGTGATCGGATTTAGTTAAAATATGCGCCGTTTTGTTCGATGATCTGTTTCCATCTAGACGGCAACTTCATAATACCTTCCTCGTAGAAGCCCCCCTCCTTATTTGCGAAGAATTCGGACAGCCACTTTTCACAAGCCTCTTTTGAGTTCAACTTCACACCACCAAGGGCATTCGCCATGGACAGGAACAGGTGGTAATCACTTGGCGCTACGTCCGGGATATATGGTGGATGCGATAAAACCTCCCACCCGAGCTCCCGTAGCTTCTGGCGAGTCTCAACGAAGTGTGTGGTCTGGCGTTGTCCTGGTGGAACACTACACCCTTCCTGTTGGCCAATTCTGGACGCTTCTGGTCGATCGCCTGCTTCAAGCGGTCCAGTTGTTCGCAGTAGATGGTAGAATTAAGCGTCTGGCCATATGGGAGCAGCTCATAGTGGATGATTCCCTTCCAATCCCACCAAACACACAGCAAAACCTTCCTGGCCGTCAATCCCGGCTTGGCCACTATTTGGGACGATTCACCGGCCTTCGACCACGACCGTTTTCGCTTGATATTGTCGTATGTGATCCATTTTTCGTCGCCAGTCACCATCCGCTTCAAGAATGGGACGAGTTCGTTCCGTTTCAGCAGCATATCGCAGGCGTTGATTCGGTCCAGAAGGAAAACATTAAACTTTTTTTTTGTATCCAGCCTTCTGCAGATGGTTCAAAATGGTTTGGTGACTAACTCCCATCTCCTGGGCGATGTCACGAGATGCCATATGCCGGTCTAACTCGATGTATTCCATGATTTGATCGGTATTTGTCGTCACAGGTCTTCCGCCGGCTGGCTTATCCATGGTGTCGTTTTCACCAGCTCTGAATCGTCGAAACCATTCCTCCGCGGTTCGAAGTGATAGAGTACCATCCCCCAAAACACCATTAATCTCACGGAACGTTTCTCTAGCGGATTTGCCTTTAACGAAGGAAAACTTTAAAATAGCGCGAATTTCGGCGTCAGTGAACTCCATGTTTACACGTCTATAACTTTTGAACGCAATATTCAAACTAATCATGCATAGCGTTGTTTTGTAGGCTTTCAAATTATGTATAGAGTTGCCAGATACGAGCTCTGTAGCGCTTTGTACATAGCCGCGAAATTCAAAGGACAAAAAAGCGGAAGGGAGATATTGACATGCCTTATATTATTAAATGCCTCTTCATAAACAATTTATTGTATGTAGCTTCAAGCCTTCAAAAATACTTATATACGTCATGTTCAATAAAAAGTTTCAATAGTTGATAACGAAGGAAAGTACTCGTATATACTGTCATGTGACCTGGATTGCGAATTTTTGAAGAGAATACTTCCAGCCATAAAAACATTGTAGCAATGCATATGTGGTTGTTTTCGCTCACTAGCCGACATATGTACTTATATACATTTCGGTGTGTAGTGTGAGAAAAAAATTAAATGTGTATATTTTTCCACAAACAAAAGATATATACGTTCACTTTATTCAGGCGTGTTGTAAAATACGTTAGTTGTCGAAATCAGAATTGAAACCGATCAAAAACTGTAGTAGGTGTCATGAATTCAGATATATTGATTTGACGTTCGAAGCAGAAATTGTATCGGTTTTGGGTGTCGCGGAAACCAATTTATCGGTTTTGTTATCAGAAACAAAACAAGAGGATAGCCGTTAACGGACTTGGAGTGTAAGTTAAGAAACTAATTTATATTATTGTTACGATTTAGTTTATGATGATTTCTATAAGAGAAAACATAAGAATAAAACACAAAATGTCATATTGCGTCTTTATTCAGTCGATAATGTGATATAAACAGAGAACGTATATCATAGAGAAGGTTCACAGTGCGGCCATTAGCAAAATATTTCATGCTTCGCAGGGGAACTGAAAAAGATGAGCGTGTTTCACCAAATGTCCACAATTAACATCAGGGTACTGAAAAATAGCAGAATTGAGCATTTTCAATGTTAATTGAGAAAAATAATGCTAATTTCAATGTTAAGAAATGTACGCTTACAGATTCGTATATTTACAATGCGCAAACGACTTTGCATATAATTTGAAGATATTCTGCCTATACAGGGTGGCTAACGAATCATGCTACAAAATTAAACCGCAATAAATTTCTTTTTAGTCAATGAATTCCAAAAATTTATGATTTTTAGCTTTTGCCATCGTCGCGAAAAGAAGCTTGTTGGCAAACGCATGCTCGGGGAGATGAGAGGGTGTCTGTTTTTATGAATGAAGCGAGGTTGCTTGTTGAAAGTACGCCTGCGTTTATGAATGGAAATGTTGTTGTTGTGTGATTTACTATAAATTTGGGCTTCGCCTATTTGGCTGACATATTGACTTGTGACCATTGTTGTTTTTGTAGAACAATGTTTTTAGTTTTTGCGGGTGACATATTTACATGTGTACGGATATTCATATGTATGTATGTTTGTTTGTGTATGCATTATTTGTTGTATAATTTATTGATAAGTGATAAAATTATGATTTGCATTTCTGAATCCGTACATTAAAATGTGCATGTGCAGATATACATACATATGACTATATAAGATTAATTTGATAAAAGATGTATGTATATGTTGTAATAAATTTAATCACTATTAGTAACAATTATAATACAAAATATTTATTAAGAATGTATATTATGTAATAACTAAATAAAATTATTAAATGCCCAAATTGACTATAAATATTATTTTGAAAAATTCATTATTAAATTAGAATGTTATCAGTTTTGCATGTTTTCATAAAAATTCGCAAAATGATATTCATATCAATAAATATGATTGTATATAAGCGTATAAAAATATAAACCAAAAGAGTAACATGTGGCTGTAAAATCAATGCAAGTCTTGAGCATAATTTTTATTCAATGCTCAGCTCTGTTCACGCGCCACTGTTAAAATTTCTCCTTCCGAGCCGACTGTGGTGAAACACGCTCATCGCATTTTGTTAGGTTTTGACAATTCACACTTATCTCTGATTCACACGCTGGTCCGTAGTTGGACCTTCTCTGTATTTTACGTTCTCTGCATGTACATCTTACTCATTCACTTAGTTATCAGTCATTGTTATTGAATATCAGCCTGTTGAACCAGAAAACATAGTGAAAGAAGTTCTTTGATGTAGACGACGTTGAACTGTGCTTTTTGGTGCTTATTATATATATTCTCTTGTATAACCTAGATTTACAATGTTATTATCACTTGTCCCTTTCGACAAAAGTTCGTGGTGAATGAATTCAAGTTCATTTTATTGGGAATAAACTTTATATAAAAGAAAGAAAAACAATGCCTATCAATAATTCAAGCGATGACTTTAAAGTGCTGATGAAATTACGGCCAAGTGAAATTACCGATGATAAGCAGCCAGCATTTTACCTGGCCCGCCCACAAATCCTTACTATTTACTCTTGCCGGGGCCTTAATAGCATTAACAATGACGTGCATCTTTTGTATTTTAAAAAGCCAACATCATATCCACTGGATTTAAATGAAGGATTCGATCAGTTCATTTTCAGGCAGATGAATAAATTTGGGCTTAATAAAGTAGAAAAATACGTTATAGAAAACGATGAAAACATTCTGCAGCCGGATGCACATACACCATCCGGATCTCGGCAGACACAATATGATTCTAAACGCAGAGTGATTTTATGTCAACGTGGAGTCTTGACAGACATTATGATTATACCATATCGTCTAAATGGACCGCGTAATACGACGTTTCTTGTTACAAAATATTGTGGCGCATTTCACATGCAAGAAAAATATACGATAACTAATTTTGAACAAAGGGATGCATATCATACATATCATCAAAAATTTATGCAGTTATGCTTTTCTGGTGAGTATCCTGATTACTTGCTCGTATGATTTCATATGAACAAAAATCATTGAAGTCATTTGGCAGTAGAATTTGCAAATAACCTTACACCTAGGATTCCTTTATATCTAATCACAGCACTGCATTCCGTACGATTACAGGACGTCTCCTGATGAGCCCTGAAAAACACCTACATAGGGAGGCTTGCATGCTTCTAGTTAAGGAACACAATGCACTCCTCTCCAAGCAGTTTGTGTAGTCGTCTCCTTGGAGCGGAACCCCCTCCTAGGAGCATCAAGTGGTCATTCTTTGCTTACGTCGAGGATATTGAACAATACGCCGACCGAACTACGGACGCAATAACTTTAGACACGCACTGACCGCCATTCACAGTGGAGCCGTTAACACCTTCACCGACTCCCTCGCAGGGAATGGTGTACTTGGAGTTAAACCACCACCCGTAGCAGACGAAGAGCTTCAGTTGCCGGGAGAATCTAGATTCGTCCTTGCGCAACTTCGTTCTGGATATTGTAGCAGGTTAAACTCCTACTTATCTACAATTGTTCTCGACATACCAAATATACCTATATATATATGTCCGGTGTGCAATGCATTTCTGCATGACTCAAACAACCTCTTTGCATACGAAATGAATCCCACTGATTTAACCTCTCTATGGTCCGACTTTGTCAACACGTTTCTTGGACCTGCCGTTAGATGACTTCCATGACAACCAATTTGAACCCTACCCCCCAGCTGGGATTAGATAACCGATCCAACAACAACTGTAGTTATAACTAACAGAGTACTTACATGTACAACACACATACATATATGCTATATATAATATTTACATGGAAGACTCTAAATAATTTAAGCTTTTAATTTTATGAAATTTAGATAGCCCAAATTCGGAACCTGAAATCGATAAACCTGTTGATGACAATAACCCAATTTCTTGTATCA